TATGTACTCGTGTGTTACTCGTATGTACTCGTATGTACTTGTGTGTTACTCGTATGTTACTCGTATGTACTCGTGTGGTGTTTTAGTCACGATCGTTTGCATGACGATAAAACATATAATACGTGGTGTTTCCACAAACAAAACTATTATATATTTAACAAATATAAAACATTTTCCGTGTTGATATAACTATATATCAATACGGAAAAAATGTTTTATATTTGTTTTATAATAAAGGGTAGATTCCACCCTTTTCAGAGGGTAGTTTTAACTCCTCAATGGGTAGGAACGTTACCCTTCGAAAGGGTCGTTTCAGCTATTCAGAAGGGTGGTTTCGGCCATAGGCGTACGGGAAGGAAAGAAATTGGGGGGGCAGAAAGAAATTTGCCCGACTTTTTCGGATTGTGCCCGACAAGTCCCGAAAATTTTTTTTTCCGGAACAATTATTTTGGTTATTTTGGCGACGTATCTCAAGAACATTCCAAAACAGCTTGTCAAAAGGGTCGCTTCAGCTATTCAAAAGGGTCGCTTCAGCTATTCAAAAGGGTCGTTTCCGCTATTCAAAAGGGTCGTTTCAGCTATTCAAAAGGGTCGAATGCAGGTATTTAAGGTATTTGAAAAATCTTTGAATTGTGTTAAAAAGCTAAGAAAGAATTTAAATTCTTCAGTAAGGAATTGATTAAACGATTTCCTATAGCTAATAAAATAGATTGATTGAAGCAAGATTTTCGCAAATATCGACGAAAATGTGCATTTTAGGATGTGATTTGACGCGACTAATTGCTTACACTCGTAATTTTTCGACAGCATGACAATTATATAGAGAATAATATAATACATGGGTGCTTGGAAATACCAGAGTTATTTCGAGTGTTGAACATGATATCTCACGAGTAAGGGCAGGAACGAGTGAGATATCATGTTCAACACGAGAAATAAATCTGGTATTTCCAAGCACCCATGTATTTTTCTGTTTATTTTATAAACTAAATTAAGTGAAAAACAAAAAAAAACGTCCGTGGCAATGCGTTTTGAAACGACCCTTTTGAATAGCTGAAGCGACTCTTTTGAATAGCTGAAACGACCCTTTTGAATAGCTGAAGCGACCCTTTTGAATAGCTGAAACAAATTTAAAGACTTTCAAGGATTTCAAAGACAGGATGACGTAGCCTGAGGTCGGACTTCCTCGACTCATTTCCTGGCATTTCAAATGCCAGGAAATGAGTCGAGAAAGTCCGACGTCAGGCTACGTCATCCTGTCACTATAATGTTCCGTTTATACGTATGCCTGGACCATTGGCATTGTCGTATACATACAGCTGAAATATCTAGGCCTGATCTGTCATTTTAACCACGTCCACGGTCAAGGTTGCAAGCTGTTTTTCTGGTGAAATTCAAAGGTAAGTTCTCTCAAATTCTATTCAAATCAAAGGCAATATTCTATTCAAAGGCATGCAAGGCAAGTTCTTCTTGGCCTCATAGGGCTAGATTAAGTTGTTTCAATTGTTAATAGTTTACGTTCTACTTTCAATGTATAAAATAAATAAACTTTAATAGACTCGATTTTTTAAAAACTTGGTGTAAGCATCTGTAATTAATAGATAGATACAATTTTATTTATACATGATAATTCCTTCAGTGTAAAAACACTGGTATCAATGCTCTGCCAACTTTAATAGACTCGCCCATTTTAACGTTTACCCTAGGTTCCCTATTTGAAATATACGCTCCGTAAATTGCTACAGTGTGAGCTGCTTGCTAAATAGTACTATAAAAATTGCGATAAATATAAGCTGTAAAACTGAAAGATGAACAGTTCCGTGCTGTAGAATCAGTCTTGCGTAGAAAAGATGTAATGGCCGTTGCCCACTGGCTTTGGCAAGTCCCTGAGTAATGCATCAAATGAAGTTCAAATCTTGCCCAATGTATTCGATTATATGATGAACGTTATTAAACCACAATTATCATGATGAACGTTAAACCAATCACAGCACAGGAAAAACTCTATTTCCCCAGAGCCAATACCTTCATAGCCCTTTTGAACTATCCATGGTGTATCTACAGATAACGGTTATGTATTTGTTAAATATGTCGGAATGCTCTACTAAAAGGGCCGTCCTTCACGACAATTCACTGTGTATTTAATCGCCAAATTATTCGATTTTATTTCGTATATTGTATTATGTTTACACGCCTATTTCTCTCGCTCGCAATGTATTCCTATGTTGTTTTTGCTAAATGTCAATCATACACTAATTATGTCTTTATATGGTGCTCATATCTAGAGTTTATTTATAACCTATTTATAGTCTGTTTCCAACACACTCCCCTATTTAACACCGGAGGTGTTCAATACACTTGTTGCATGCATTACCCTACAATAATATTATCAATATCAATCTATAAGTTCAACTCTTAAACGTCAGTTCAGTTACTGTTTTCATCTTCTGCAATGTCACTTATACGAACTTTCGCTACCTCCGCTGCGTTCCGTCTCGGTCGAAAGGCTGGTATCTCCGGATTTAATTTCGTCTTCGTATTTCTTCCTATGTCGCAGCTCAGCTCCAACGGATAAAGGTACTGTATCGGCCTTTCAAGTTGGTTTCTTCCCGCTCGAAGTCTCACCGCTCGTACAACACCATCTTTACCAGGCAACACTTTCTCCACAATCCCTAATTTCCATTGATTTCTGTCTTTCTCGTCACCCTTTATGATCACAACTTCACCTTCTCCCACTGTTCCGGATGATCCTCTTTGCTTCGTTCGCGAAGACCTCATAAATACTTATTTGTCCAGCGTTTCCACATCGTATCTTTACATTTTTTAATGTACTTCGCTCTTTTCCTTAATGGTACGGTTTCTTCGAGGTGTGGTTCCAATTCTGGCAGCAAGTTAGACTGAGGACGCATCATACTTTCGGGTGTTATCAAGGGCATTTGAATATCATCTTCTACGTACGACAAGGGGCGGTTATTTAAAGCGACTTCGACATCTAACAATCCTGATTGGTTTCGCTGTAGGTTGAGTTGCATTCGGTCAGCGTCGTATTTCTCACTCGCTTCGCCTTGTCGTCGAGCCTTTTCTTCCCAAAATTTCTTTTGTGCTTCAATCTCTTCTGTAGTTAGTGGACCGACCTTTTTGTTTTTGTTTCTCGCGTTGTGCACAAACCTCGCGA